GGGAGGAAGGGGTTGCGATTGTTGACTCGCGAGGCGGCGAGGGTGCCCATCATGGGGAGGTCACAGCGGCGTCAGCATGAGCCTGCCCCTGACCATGTGCAGGAAACATTCAGGGGCCGCTCCCCTGTGTACCGTTACCTGGTTGTCGGCCAGAAGCTCGACAACAAGGGGGTCATGATGCTGCGTTGCACTTTTTGCAACAAAGTATTTCAGGGGAGCTAATTCCAGGCGACGAGGCATTTCACGCAGACGAATTACTGCAAGGACGTCAGCGACGAGGCTTTGTACGAGATCGCGCGACGGAGTCAACATAAGTTCGAGAGCGATCAAATGGAGAGGGTTGCCAGGTACGTGGCGGAGCGCGGAGCCGATGTGCCTGGCACGGGTGGTGTGAGGGGAGGAGAGGCGGGGCGGCAGCCCGTGGAGGGAGCGTCAGGAGGGGTCGGGGGAGATGGTGGAGGTGGAGACACGGAGGAGGGCGCGATCGACGTCGATCGTGAGGTGCGTGTCCCGGGCGAGCAGGGAATCCCGGGACACGAGGACGTGCCTGAGGTTTATCCAGGCACTGGGGAGAGGATGGAGGACTTTTTGAGGCGAGCAGCCAAGGGACCTGTAGGGGAGGGTTCTTCCAAGAGGAAGGAAGGTGGAACAGATCCGGCCGCCGCGCCAGCTGGGAAGAGGCATCGCCAGCAGAAGGTCACTGACGTCTATGGTGGCGAGTGGGTTGCTCGCCACAAGAAGACATTCCTTCGCTGGCTCTATTCCATCAGGGTCCCCTTCAATGCCTTCCGTAACCAGGCTTGGAAGGCATACCAGCAGGTCCTTCTTGAGCAACCTGGCAGTTCCCCGCGCGCTGTGCTCCCCAGCCATAGCGAGATTGCGAGTATGCAGGGGGTGGAGACCCACCGTGAGGAGTTGGCGGAGGAGTTGGAGGAGGAGGTGAGGCAGCCATTCTGGATCACTGGTGCCACCCTCCTCTCCGACGGGAGGAAATCACGAGACGGGAGACCGATCGTGAATTTCCTTGTCGCCGGCTCGCGAGGGGTTGTCGTCTTCACGACGATCAATCGCGAGGGCGAGCCGGACGATGCAGTGCACGTCCTTCGGAGATGGGTGACCATCTTCCACGAGTTCAGTTTCGGCGGCCCGCAGCGGGTCAATGGGATAGGCACAGACTCCGCATCGGCGTACGTGGGGGCTGCGAGGGCATTGGCCTCGCCGGGCATCCCTCCTGCAATCAGGAGAATCACTTGGCTTCCGTGTTCCGTCCATGTCTGCAACAAATTGTTGTCAGACATGGGGACGAGTTGCGATGCGTTTGTGGAAGCGATTACACGCGCTCGTGTTCTGGTGGTGTTTTTCAAAACCCACCAGGCCGCCCTTTATTTCTTTAGGAAGCGCAACCCCAACAAGGGGCTTGTGCTTTCTTGCGAGACGCGGTTCACGTTTGTTTATTCTATGTTGGAGAGACTGTTGGCCCTGCTGGACGATCTGCAGGCGATGATGCGAGGGGATGAGGGGCGGGAGTTTTCTTCTATACTGTGGTCCGCCGATGTGTGCGACATGGCGCGTTGGGTGCATCGGCAGATCAGATGGGAGCCTTGGTGGCACACGATGGACACCATAGTCCACATCATGCAGCCCGTCATGGAGCTGCTTAGGCGGATGGATCGTGGGGGGCAGTACATGTCCCTCATGATCGAGTGGACACAGGATCTTGTCTGCCGTGTCACTGATGCATGCGCTCCTTTGGGGAGGGTTTTCGCTGACCGCATCATCAGGCGTGTGCAGGCTCGCACACAGCACATGCTGGAGCCTGCTCACTGCGCGGGGTTCTTACTAAACCCCCGCAGGCGACATGTTGAGTACTTTTCGGGCGAGGTGAGGGATTACCCTCGTTGGCTTGTAAGGCAAGCCAAGAGGTACATTTTGACGCAGACGGGTTACGAGGAGGATGGTGTGGAGTACATCATTGCATGTCGGCAGTTTGAGGACTTTCACATGCAGCAGGGCACATTTGGGGATTGGGGAGGGGGGGAGGGGCGTGCTCGCGGGCATGCTTGCAGCGGCGACAGGCAGACGATTGAGTGCACGTCCTGGTCTCAATACGGGTCTGGCGCACCTGAGTTGCAGCGCTGCGCTCTTCGTGTGATGCACATGTGGTCTTGCACCTGTCCAGCGGAGAGGAACTGGGCAGTCCACGAGGGCATTCACATGAAGAAGCGCAACCAGTTGGCCTTTGAGAAGGTCGTTCAGCTCGTTGAGATCACCGTGAATGTGCGGTTGTCGAAGTATCGGCGGGCTGGGTGCGGTTTTGTGCTGCCATGGCAGCGGGACGAGGGCATGCTAGACTGCCAGGCCGGACTGGAGTTGGAGCCAGTGCGCACGGGCACGCGCAGGGGGATGACGCCGAAGGAGATTGCCCGTCAGGTTGCGCTTATCATCCGGGATCCTATCGGGGTCTCCGCACCACCCGCAGTTGAGGCCGTATTCGGTAGACGTGCTTCCATTTTCCGTCCTTACCCCAGGGAGGATGATTCCGACGAGGAGCCGGTACCCGAGGCAGCGGACCACCCCGCGCTCCGCATTCCCCGTGAGATCAACGAGACGCACCTGGACCCCGAGGAGGACACCAGGGCGCATACTGCACGACGGGCGGCTGACAGGGCGGAGAGGGAGATGATGGGGGGAGAGGAGTTGTGGTGACCGTTCGGGGAGGTCGCTTCGACGGGCGGCACAGGAGCGCGGGCCACGAGCCCCGCTCCAACGAGGCAGGAGTCGTCCATGCCGCCACCTTCTGCTCCGAGTCCTGCACCGCCATCGCCCGTCGCGCCATATGAGCCGACCACGGCAGCAGAGGATACGGAGGAGTTGGCGTCCTCTTTGCCTCAGCGCGGACTACTCTACAGAGGCGGGGCAGTCCGACAGCTGAGGTTACGATCACCTTCTCCGGGGGTCTTGCAGGAGGAGGGGGGACCGTCGGCAACAGCAGTGGAGGGGGAGATGGCAGTGGAGGGGGGATTGGCGGACACGACGATTGCAGGTGTGGTGGAC